CGTCTGAAGTTCCACCGGCCAGAACAGCCCAAGGAGTGATGAGGAAGCCAGCTCTGGTACGGTAAAGCACCAAGTGAGGAAGCTACCTATTTCATGGACTTTCTCAATCCCTTTTTGCTCCTACGATCATCCACAGATCCTCGATCATCCTTTAACTGGGAGTGACCTCTGATGCGAAACGTGGCTTTTCGGGCTGCCCAAAGCAAATTCGGTAGTTTGGCTCATGTCTCTTGCCCGCGGCTGTAGGTGCTTGAGGAAGTAGAGCTTCTGGGTGCAGGCATTCAAAATTTGTGCGAATAATCGCTGGCAGCCATAGAAAAGCCGGTGACATCAGTTTTTGCATGTGCGTTGCCATCCAGTCCTGCCGTTCATTTTCTTTTAAGATCCTGAGAAGGCGCTGTGTCATGTGAAGAGATGATGCCAAAAATTGCCAAAGCCAAGCTTCGTGGGTGACCCCTCGTTTCAAAGCGCTTGTCCAAGATGTTGAATGGCCTCCAACGAAGCCAGGTTGCAAGGGGAACTAACGAGGCAACCAAAAGCTGAGGCTAAATAACAGGGCGGTTGCGGCGGTTGCCACATTAGAGTCAGATCGTATAGCTGGCAGATTTGCCAGGCTAGGTGGTTTGTGTTTGTATCATTCTTGAACTGCCGTGCAGCCTGCGAGGATTGCACAGGCACGGACGCCTGGAAGTGCCAAGCAAGCTGATTCTGGAATTCTGTCACACTTGCATGTTTGGTTCCTCATACGGGTTGCAACGATGTGTGACAAGCGACCTTTCTTCCGAGATGGGACTGTCACGGGACCGCTGAAGTCGGGTTTCCCCCAGCTGTGCCACGTTCGCTACACCAGCTGTGCCGTTGTAGAGGTCCCCAGGATTGTGACTGAAAGATGGCCAGGCCTCTTGTCTACAAATAACGCAAGATGGCAAGTTGTCACAGCATGGAAGTGCACTGGAAACTCAACTATTTCAACTAATGCACATGTTCTAGGTTTGTTGCGGCGTCCTCCACAAAAGCGGTTTCCCTTCGGCATCTGAGCGAGGCCATTTTTGGCATCCTGCTAGCCTGACGCTAACTCCACGTGACATAAGGCTGAGAGCAAGCTTTCAGGCAGGCGGCCTACCCAGATTTAGCCCGACCATTTTCTGCACAGGACCTGCTTAGTTCCATGACATCCTTCGCGTCTGAAAGAAGCACCAAAGCTGGCCAGCAAATCATCAATCTTGGTCATTGGTTGACAATGTTGTTCAACATCTTTGTAGTCCCCAGGCAAGAACTCGTCTGTCAGTGGGACAAAGGCCTAAGGCCTTGCAAGCTGCAATGACGAAGGCCGTTCTTTCCCGTAGCATTTTGCATGTTGAAGTGATTTGCCAGATGCAATGAGGAGGGTATCCTCGGGGATGGTTCGCAAGGCCATATGGCTCAAAGGTTGAATAGGTCGGAATAGTGATGGGGCGGAGTGCCGTACAGTCTCCCACACCAAGGGCTTGGGAAAAGGACATGAATGGTTTGCAAGGTTTCAAGGATTGATGGGAGTGCACGAAGAATTTGGAAACGAGAACTAGCGTGGGCTTGATTATACAGAGTGCGGCCCTTCAACTCTACTTGCACATTAGCACTTCTTGGACTGCGATGAGCTGACCGAGGTTCTTGCGTTGCACTAGGAGGCGTGACAACGCGCATGTTCATTTGCTGCACAAATCCGGCTCCAAGCTAGCTCTGCCTATTCTGCAGGAAAGGGTGGGACTTTAATCCAAACGTTCTCTAGGGCCTTGGAGATGTACTCCCCAAAGTCGCTTTCTTCCCACTCGGATGCTGAGCTTGTCTTGGACTAGGACTAGGAGGCTTCGAAGATTTCGGGGGCTGGGCCTGATGGACAGCTTGTGAGGAATCCTTTCGGTGGCATTGCCACAGAAAATGGTTGCAGAGGTGTGCTTTCATAGAAAAACTGTAGGTAAATGGTCCAACCCGAAGACGCCTGCTAGGCTGCTAAGTGTTTGGCCCGTGCCACTGTCATCTCAGACGATCTTGAACAGCAACATAGAGTGTCAGTTTCTGGAGCTGCACAAGTGTTCTAGCCCTGCATGAAAAGTTAGTTCTCTCGCGCAGACTTCTTGTTTTGTGTTCCTGCAAAAAGCGATTGAAGCAACTATGCACCGGAAGAGTTCTCAGTGGCTCCCTTGCGGATGACATTCGATGCTCTCTACCTGGGCTACGACTAGAGAATGCCAATGTGAGAGCTACAAACGCCAAAAGTCACAGAACCTCTCTCATCATTTAGAAATTGCCTAGACGGTGTGGGTGATGACGACTTGGAAGTTGTGGGCACTTTCCAAGAGTGTGATAAAAGCCCCTTGCAAGGGCATTGTTTGGAGGGAATCTTTTGGAACGAGCCACAGAGCTGCAGTTTGCATGTGCCACATGTTTCACCGAATGGACCAAGAAGGATGGAGCTGCGCCTCATGTGAATGTGTCCCAGAGTCACATGTCCATTTTTCTACCTAATGCCCATCAACTGCAGAGGCATGAGCCAGTGCAGACAGCACTCATTGACAGCAATCTTTGATGTGCTGGACTGCAGCGCATGTGGCAGAAGGGCTTCTGCTCCTTCAGATTAGCATGGCCCTCAGCCTGCACAGCGCCCCCTATGGCATGATCGTGGACTTCGAAAAACACACGGCTCGGGCGATACTTGTTGATGGATCCATTGAATCTTTGTTGACTTCTCCTGTGCGATGGACGTCCTTTGCGCAGCACTCTGTGATACCACTCGTCAGTTCTGAAGAACAAGGGCAGTGTGTGTCTTGTGGCCATGGCCTTTGAAAAGGTCTGCCAACGCAACGCGCGAGGCGGTCGCGCAGCACGTTGGGTCGCACACGGCCTTTCAAAGGGTCGCGCAACTCGCGCATGGCTCGCGCACTCCCAAAAGGTGCGTGCTGGCACTTTAGAGTTCGGATCATTTGGAGCATCGTCTCTTGTTCGGATCATTTGGAGCCTCCCCGCCCTCCGGTGACTCATCTGTCCAAGGTCGTTTTGGGGAACATGTGTTCGGAGGACTTGGATGTCAGAACTGCCCAAGAGGCACCCAAATGCGCATTTTTCACCTCAAGAATTAGATTGGATACACTTTGTACACGCATTAGGCAAATCTTACAAGGTTACTTACATGCAGGTCCTGCCTTGGCCCATGCAGCCAAGCTGACGGCAGTTCTTCTAAACAATGATTGTAGGGCCATCATCTAATAAAAGGACAATCTTTTACCAGCAAGCCCATCCCATCCAAAGAAACACAAGTGTTGGGCCATGCGAAGATTTCAACAAGACACTAACATTGAAATTGCAGCGTTGCGGGACTGTAGCACTCTGCATAGCGCTGTTTTGAGTGTTGCGTGTTACGTCTAACTCGTTGCATGACAGATGTCACAAATGCGGCTTAAATCCGTTCTGTGCCAGATCCACTCAATTGATCTATATACCTCAATTGCGAGGTACCAAATCAGGTGAGGTCAACAGAAGTGATATGTGCATCACCATGTCCTTTCTGTTTGTCAACCATAAAAGTTCTATCGTAGAAGTTTACTGGGGAAGAGCTGAGATCAGTTTGACCATTTTGCAAGCATAATTGAGACCCCGTCTGAGAGCTTGCAGATTCACCAGCGCCAACTGGCAGATCGCTTTCTCTCACGGTGTGTGCCCCTGAAGATTATCTGATCTCTCAAAGCCAAAAGACCCAGTCGGAATCGTGTGGACGCACCCTGTCGTGTGGACTACTTGCACGCGAGAGGAACCAACTGCACGCACTGCAGCGCATGCAGCTTGCCAGAGAGGTGCGTTTGCGCGCCTTGGGGTCTTAGAAAAGAACCTTGAGCTGTAAATCCTAGACGAAGCGTTTGCTTCTGACTGCGCCAATTCTCGCCCGAATTCAGCCGCATGTTCTGACTGCGCCCGGCCCAACGGTCAAAGTCGTCAAAGTTGTGATGGACAAAGTCGTCAAGGTAGGAGGGGTGCATTCTTCGTGTAAACTTGGCATGCAGACTGCGCAGAGATGTCAAGACTTCGCAGAGTTCCGGCCTAAGGCACTTCCAACGTTTCGCCCGAGGATTTTGTTTGCAGAAAGCCTTATCTCGGTGTTGAAACAGCTCTCTGGCCTTGTCTCCTGTGCCTTTCTGAAATCCAAAAAAGGGTAATCATGCGTTGGGTGCGTGCTTCGTTCAGTGGTTGGAGCTGCGAAGTTTTTCCGGGTGGCCAGCTTTGTGGAGTATCCTGTAGAAACCAAGTAGCCGGACGGATTACGAGAGCCGGACTCAAGTAGAGTTGACTTGCAGCTCTTGATCCAGGTGTTGTCCTGAAATGCCAGCACTTGCACTTGAAGCCTCCAAGTACACTTGCTGAGCTGGCCGCTTCCACTTGTCCAGGATGCAGGCAATTCAAGCATGTTTAGACTCTTGGAGGTCTTGTTTTGGTTGGGACCACCTGCGCCTCATGTGACTTTGGACGAATCTCATAGGCCATGGCTGAGAATGGCAGGTTCTACCAATGCGATTGTTTCCAAGCTTTAACTTGTGTTTCTTCAAGACTTCAAGAGCCTGTCACCACAAGTGAAGATGACTGTGCATTCTCCTCATCTATGCCTATGCAAAATCAGTATTCGTGGTCAAGTTGACATATCCACCTGAGGTTTAATTCTTTCCGTCTCAAAGCGCCAGATGTTCGACTTCCTTGGTGGGCCACAAGGTTCAAAGTTCAGACGGGTCTCTTGTTGGGTCTTGTTTCATCAGCCATAGACAGGGCCAAATGAGGCCTAGAGTGCCCTTGCTTACCTCGCATGCTTGCCTGGAGTGCAGCTGTCTTTGGGCCCTTTTTGCTTTAGCAATTTTTTGGGTGTGCATTTAAGTAGGGAGATGCCCCAACCAGTGGATTTTGTCCTGTGTTCCTTCTTCCCATCTCTATAGGATTGGAATTCTGCTGCTCAGGTGCCACCCGCCTTGTGTCCCTGCCGTGCCGCCGTGCCTCCGCGGGAGTCGTGAGACGAGCCGAGAGCTTTTCAGTGTTTGTTTTGCACCCAGGTTAGGTCTGAGCGACGAGCTTGTTTTGGATGTGACGCTTGTGGAAATATCGAGCACTGTCTGGCCGAGTCTCTCAGTCTCGAGTCGACTACGCGGTCCATCGCAAACGGTGCATCCTCGTCTCGTTGCAGCCTGTCTGTGGTTCGACACCGGTCGAGCCGGTCGACCGGTGACTGTGTAGGACACTTGTTGAGCTGTGCTCCATGCGATGTTGCTGGGGAGTTTCAGGAGTTGAAGAGCAGTTGTTATGCTCTTCAATACAAGCATCTCTGGCGGAACAAGCTTGGATGCTTGAGTGCCTCGAAAAAGATCCAAACTGATGTTCAACACTTGACAGAAGTCTTATGCCATCATTAGCATGTCTAGGAAGTTGCAGCAACACTTGGGGCAGTTGCGTTGTGCGGTACTTGAAGGGGTTCAGGTCGACACATAGAAAAGGAATGAACATTTTTATGTTGAGCTCCAGCGCACTTAATTCTGATTGGGAGCTATCGAATTAGCCTCAGAGTCTTGTCCGTTTGGCTGGAGATATGGTGAGCTGTGATGGTACACGACAAGTAGGATCATTGGAAGAATAGGACTTGGCCCATGTTGGTTGAAGCAAAAACAGTCCTTGCGAACTGCAGAGGGCAGATGGTTGATGACGACTTCGCAACAGCCGAGGCTGAAGGCAATGTCGTGTAACGTTTGGTGCCTGAAATCCCAAGAGGCTCTTCCTTCCGTTGCCTCTCAAGAACAGATGCATGATCCACAAAAGGCGCCCCTCTTGGACAGCAATCTTTGATCTCCTAGTATGTACGTCACGGGCTGCATGCTGAATCCTTTTTCCGGGTCAAGCTCACAAACTGGCACCGATAGCAAGGCGTTGCCAGTGAATCGTTTGTGCAACATAGCAGCAAAGAATCAACCTGCTGGATGCAGGTTTCCAGAGACTCAGCGCGTCTCAGTTCAGCTAGATCAGCTTTTCTGTGGCAGGCGCGCCTGCTCAACGATAACTTGACAGAAGCTGGAGCTTCTGAACCAACTTGCGATGATTGACTTCCCTCATGAAGACCGCTAAACTTTCATTTACTTGGTGTTGCTCTCCGTTCTAGAAATGCAGGAACGTGTGATGGGTGTTGAATTGTGCCAGGGAAAAGCATCTCAGTGTCTCACTTCACTTAGTTCAGCTTGCCTGTAGCAGGTGCACCTACTCAGCGATAAACTTCAAAGAAGTAGGAGTTTCTGTGCGTCGCAAAGTAATACCAACTTGTGATGCTTGGTTCCCTCATTAAGATTGCTAAGCTTCTTTTAATCTCAACACCGCTCCCCTAAATTTGCTGATGCATGCAGGGTCGAATGGGGAACAATCCATGGAACATGGTGGATTTGCTTAAACGCGCTGGCGCTGCGTGGCCTTACGAGTGATCTAGTGGGAATCGCTTCATGCTGTGGCCTTTGTCAAGTGGCCATGCAATTTTGTACTCCCTGCCGGTGGTTCTTGGCGCATCACTTTGGATGGCAGTGGAATATGACTTTTTGAACTGGAGCTTTCCTCCGGGGTAGTCTTGCCTGATGTCGATGAGGTCGTCACAGTGCCAGGGATTCAACTTTCCAGAGGTCGCGCTGTGGCTGCATCGGAATGCTCTGGCTGAAGTCGCTACAACATTTGTGAACCTTGACAGGCCTCGTTGGTGCTCGCTGGTCTGCCAGCGATTCAGAAAGCTATGGGCGGCGAATGACGATCCTTTTCATACACTGTCCTCTTTGCATCTCGTAGCCAGAGCTCCAAAACATTCGAACTACAGCCTACAAGCATCACACGGCTCCACAAAAGACACCCTGGCGCAAGCCTTTTGCTGCTAGCCTTCAATTCAAGAAACGCGCCAATCTGGTCCAAAAAGCCTGGCTTAAAGCCTTCATGCGACAGTCAGTGACGAGAGCGGTTCCAAGAGCTGCTTTCCCACGGAATCTCCGAAGGATTTTCCAGACACTTGGAACATGCCGAACATTTGTGCATGATCTTTTTCGTCGTGTTTCTTTCTGCATCAATTGACAGCGACGCTTCGACGAGATCAGCGTGCTGCGTGTCCTCATAAGACAGAAGACCATGCAAGTTCTTGCACTGCGCGACTGGCACTGCTGCAAACTGTATGCAGAAATAGATTGCCAGACTTTTCCAAACACTTGATGGATAGTCAAGCAGGTGGATGGAGAGCTCAAACCGCAAACCTTTTCAATGATACTGGGAGTTTTTGCGCATTGCAAAGTACCAACTTGGGATGCTTTCCTCATGAAGATGGCTAAGCTTGCATTGATGTGTATTGAATTAGTGCCAGTGAAAAGCCTTTACCATTTCTACGTGTTGGCAATGCAAGCACATGAACCAACAGCTACTGCGGTGCCATTGACAAGGAATCAACCCGCAAGGTGCAAGTTTCGAAACACCTGCTTACAATCTCCAGTGATCCAGCGTCTCTCAATTCAGCTAGATCAGCTTGCCTGTAACTGTAGCAGGCGCACCCACTCAATGATGAACTTGAAAGTGGTGGGAATTTCTGTGCGTTGCACAATTCCAACCTGTGATGCCTCCCTCATGAATACGGATAAGCTTTCATTTACAAGTATTGAATTGGTGCCAGTGAAAAGCATTTACCACTTCTGCTTGTAATCCAAGCTCATGAACCAACAACCCCTGCGACAAGGTTGGCAAAGAATCAACCTGCGAGATGCAAAGATCCATGCACCTGCTTACAATCTTTGGTGACCCGGCATCTCTCACTTCACTTGGTTCAGCTTGCCTGTAGCAGGTCACCGACTCAATGATAAACTTCAAGGAAGTAGGAGTTTCTGTGCGTCGCAAGGTACCAACTTACGATGCCTGGCTTCTTTCTTTGAGACGACTGGGACTAAGCATTCTTTAACTAGTCTCAACTCCGCTGCGAGTATCTTCTGCCATGGATGAGGGGCGAGCCAGACTTCTTACCTTGTATACGGTGGGCCGAATGCTGAATCACTTTTCTGTGTCAAGCTCACAAACGAGCACCGAGAGCCAGGTGTTGCCAGAGTATCGTTTTTTGCACCGTGGGCAAAGAATCAACCCGCAAGATGCAGATGTCTAAAAAACCGCATACAACCTCCGGTGACCCAGCGTCTCTCAGTTCAGATAGATCAGCTTGCCCGTAGCAGGTGCACCGACTCAATGATAAACTTGAAAGAAACTGGAGTTTTTGTGCATCGCAAAGCACCAACTTGCGATGCTTCCCTCACATGAGTCTAGCTAAACTTTCGTTTTTTTGGTGCCACTCTCCGTGTTTGAAGGGCTTGCACGAAGCGTGTGACGTGTATTGACGATGTGCGAACATTAAACACATCAACCAGCGATCAGGCATGCCCAGGTCCGCCGCTCCGCCGAGCACTTTGTTCAAGTGAGCTGTGCACAACATTTGGCAAGCGGACGGCTCAATAGCAAGCTGGAACATTTGCAACTTATTGAACATGAAAGGACAATACGGCGGCATTTTTCACTGGATAACACGTATATATTTCATTAAGGTTATATATATATATTATTATATGAATTTTGTTATTTTTGTTATTGGAAGTAAATTATGTCTCTGTTTGTAGAGATAATGTACTCTTACATACTGTATATTGTCCTCATTTCCCCAATTCCATCGTTTTGAACAGACACGGTAACAAAAGACATGTGCCAGGTCGCAGGGGAACCCAGAACCCAGTCGATCCTGGACTTGCCTTGCATCCCGATGATGTTCATCGTCTCATCCCCGTTGCTAATCCACGAGCAATTTTCAAAGAGACTCACGAATCCCAAGTGGTCGACACGCTCAGAATCTTGCGAGGATAAAGCAGGAATCTATCATCATCGAAAACCGTTTTGTCTCTGAATTTGGAGATCTTGGGAAGACAAACGAAAAAGGCTGGTGTCACCGGATGGATCTTCTGCACCGAGGTGGTGGTGGTAGTAGTTGGGAACGGCTGGTTGTAGTGCCAGTGCTAACAGCTGGGTAGAAAGAGAAAGACTGAGAGGAGTAGGGGTAGGCGTACGAGGAGGAGGAGGAGGAGGAGTAGGCATAGGAGTAGGAGTAGGAGTGGTGTAAAGTAGCAAGACGAGCAGCAAGAATAGGTGGGAACAGGAGTAAGAGCAAAATTTGTAGTAAGCAGCAGAAGTAGAATGTAGGTAGTAGGTTGTAATAGTTAAGTCTCAGTCATGGTGGTGATAGTTGTAGTAATTGTGTACAACCATCATCATGAATTGAGCATGCGTAGTGGTAAAAATACTATTACAATTATTGTGAGTTTCCCAGCCAGCCAGGGAGGGACTGGAATTAGTCATTTGGTTTCTTTCCCCCCAGAAAGCGTGAGCTATTGGGGTTCTTACTTCAAGTATAGGAAGAGCTGCACGTGTGCGTTTTGGAGCTTGGGTGCTGGTGCCGCTGTAGGGTGCCGCTGCTGTGCGCGCTTGGTGGTGGTGCCGCTGTGTGCCACTGCTGTGTGCGCTTGGGAGCTTGGGCGCGGGTGCTGCTGCTGCGCTTGGGTGCGCTTGGGGCGCCGCTGCTGCGCTTGGGAGCTTCGGTGGCCGCTGCTGTGTGCCCTTGGGTGCTTGTGCTGGCGCCGCTGCAGGGTGCCGCTGCCGTGTGCCGGATGTATGACTCGGTGCGCTTTGGAGGCTGGTGCCTGCCGCTCCAGGGTGCTGCTGCGACATGCCTTTGACCCTGCGCGCTTTGAAGCCCAGGTGCTGGCAGGGGTGGCCACATAATCATTTTTTTGTTTAATCTGGGGTCTTTTTGCTATCACTTGGCCTCATGATTATTTTAAAATCTATTTACATATCAGTATCATTATATTGAGGTGTTGTTTGGTGGTTTTCATTTGTGGTTCTATTCTACAGGAAGCTTTCCACGACATCACGTAGTAGTAGACGTAGTAATAGACGTTGTTGTTGTGCTCGTTAACCGTTAACCAATCTTTTTGAATACCTATGACAATTATATATATATATATGTATATATAACTTGAATAATTCAGACACACATCTGTATTGTCACAGAAGAAGAGAGAGAGATATATATATATATATATGTATTTCAAACATCTCAAGAACTATATGTCCTGAAACGTAAAGCTAGTAGCAAAACGATCTCTGTCTTCTTTTGAATGTATTGGTTACAAGAAGGTGGCAGTAACAACTTTAACGGCTTGAAGTCTTTATGCTTCAGAACTGGGTCGCCCTCCCGCTGGTCGGTTTTCCCGGTCTAAGCCCTCATCGCCAAGGACAAGGGTTTTCGACGTCTTTCGCTGGATCCACGGATCCGGTCCGATCCCAGGTCCCCCCGGTCTTCTGCCGACCTGCGGGATCCCGTCCAGGATCCGACATCCTGAGGTCTCCAGTGTGAAGTTGGAACTCAAAAGAGGTGTATAGCAAAATACCTGAAGCTACACCATCCGCTTCTCCAAGTACCAGAGTGCCTGAAGAATGGATTTTGCACCTGTTTTCGCCTTCTCCCTTTTGCTCCATGAATCAACTCTGTTAAAAAACAGAAGGGGTGGCCATGGGGCCAGGGTTTTGTTTTTTCAGTATTTGCAGACAATTTTTCACAAATACAATCAACACCACATAAAAAGGACGGACTGAAAGTCTTTATGTTTTTATGTTGAGCTCCGGCGAACTTGATTCTGACTGGGAGGTATCGAATTAGCCTCAGAGTCTTGTCCGCGCAGGTTGGGTTGGAGATATGGTGACCTGTGATGGTACACGACAAGTAGGATCATTGGAAGAATAGGTCTTAACCCATGGCCCATGTTGGTTGAAGCAAAAACAGTCCTTGCAAACCGCAGAGTGCAGATGGTTGATGACGACTTCAAAACAGCCAAGGCTGAAGGCCATGGAGTTATGTTTGGAGCCTGAAATCCCAAAAGGTTTTTCCTTCCGTTGCCTCTCACGAACAGAGGCACGATCCAAGAAGGGTGCCCCTGTTGGACAGCAATCTTTGATGTCCTAATACATACGTCACGGGCCGCATGCTGAATCCTTTTTCCAGGTCAAGCTCACACACTGGGATCAATAGCACCGTAGCCCCTGCTATATATAGATGTGGGTTTCCCAAAACCTGCATACAATCTCCGGTGACCCAGCGTCTCTCAGTTCAGCTAGATCAGCTTTTCTGGGGCAGGCGCGCCTGCTCAACGATAAACTTGAAAGAAACTGGACTTTCTGCACCAACTTGCGATGATTGACTTCCCTCATGAAGACCCCTAAGCTTTCATTTACTAGGTGTTGCTCTCCGTTCTAGAAATGCGAGGCCTGTGATGCGTATTTGATTGGTGCCAGTGAAAAACACGTACCATTTCTACTTATAATCCAAGCACATGAACCAACAGCCACTGCGGCACTGTTGGCAAAGAATCAGCCTGCTAGATGCAGCTGTCTACAAACCTGCGTACAAATTCCGGTGACCAAGTTTATCCTAATTCAGCTAATTCAGCTAGTTCAGCTTGCCTGTACCAGGTGCATTGACTCCACGATACTTGAAAGAAGTGGGAGTTTCTGCGCATCGCAAAGCACCACCAACTTGCGATGCTTGGCTTCCCCAATTCAAATGGCGAAGTGTTCTTTCATCTCAACGCCGCTGCCCCAAATACACATCCCGATGCCTTATATTAGAAGGGGCAACAGACCACGGAAACGGGTGGCTTTTTGAATGCACTGGCACTGCCCGGCTGAAAATGAATGCAAATCAGGTTTCATCACAAAGACAAGCTGAGTCTGTTCTTGCCAGCAAGGGAGGCCAACGCAGTGACCTTGCACTAAAATCCTCACCCTCCCCCCCTCAGCGGTCGTGGACGTGCCTCGGAGGGTGCCAAGTCACCCCTTTGAATAGGCCAGAGGAACAACAGAAAGCTGGCCGTTGCGGCTCCTCATGGTTGATTGTTTGAACCAGGATTACACAGACATTTGCAACCGATTTTCCTAGCTTTCGTTTACCCTCGCTGGCCTCAAGTGCTGTGGCCATTGTTAAATGGCCATGCAAGTTTGCGTCCCCTGCCGGTGATTGTCTGCACATCATTTTGGATGGCAGTGGGAGTGGGATATGACAATCTTGAGCTGGAGCTTTCCTCCGGGGTAGTCTTGGTTGATGTCGACATCACAGTGCCAGGGATTCAACTTTCCAGAGCTGAGAGACACGGAGCCATTGTCGTGCTGTGGCTGCACAGGAATGCTATGGCTGAAGTCGCTACAACATTTGTGAGCCTTGACAGGCCTCGTTGGTGCTCGCTGGTCTGTCAGCGATTCAGAAAGCAATGGACAATGGAATGACGATCCTTTCCATACACTGTCCTCTTTGCATCTTGTAGCCAGAGCTCCAAAACACTCGAACTACAGCCCACAAGCATCACACGGCTCCCCAAAAGACACCCTGGCGCAAGCCTTTTGCTGCTAGCCTTCAATTCAAGAAACGCGCCAATCTGGCCCAAAGAACCTGGCTTAAAGCCGCCCTTTGAGTGGCTCTGCCTGATTGTCTTCTGCGCCCTTTGATATGCGATTTCTAGGGTCACACAGGGGTCTATGTCAACCTCGCCAACAGGTGCAGTGATGGACAGCTTGCTTTGTCCATAGCTCGGCTGCCAATCTGCATGCGACAGCCAGTGACCCGAGCGTTTCCAAGAGCTGCTTTTCCTCAGAATCCACGAAGGATTTTTCAGACACTTAGAATGCGCCGGACATCGGCGCACGCAATCTCGTGTTTCTTTGTGCCCCTTTGACAGCGACGCTTCAAAGAGATCAGTGTGCGTGTCCTCATAAGACTGAAGACCATGCAATATACAAGTTATTGCAATGCACGACTGGCACTGCTAGAAATGCCATGAAATGCCTGTCTCCAGAAACCTTTCCAACCCCTCGATGGACAGTGAAGGAGGTCGATGCAGAGCTCAAACCAAACCTACTCAATGATGATCACGGTCCGAAGGTAAGTGGTTTAAGAGCTACAGGAAATTGTGAGGGAACGAGCAAAGCGTTGCTTTCCGGCTTAAGTCATATCTTGAATTTGTCTTGAACATATGTCTTCATGGCTTGCAGTACAATGCTTGACATTGACATTCTCGACATGTTCTTGTTGAATTTTCATCGCTGCGGGGGGTATGTTGAGCCATGGATGCAGAGACAGAGGATGACCAACCTGCCACTCCCGCTTGCGGGTACCGTGCTCGTTGGAAACGACTCAGAGGAAGTGTAAATGATAGCATTGATGTTGATAGTCCTGAGATTGTGCATGCTGATCCCCAGGCAGGTTCGAGTCTTTGGGCTGAAGTTGTTTTGAGTGACGCTGTGAAGGACGAGATTGTTCCCGAGCTACTCCCTGAAGAGCCGGTAGAGTATGAGCCTTCTTCGTGCGCAGCCTCGGTGAGCCCACAGACGGAGCCTCAGCCTTTCATTCAACTTGCAAGCCCAGAAGACAATGAGAAAGCTGTGTCCAGTGCAGCCTCTCGTCATATGCACTTGCATAGTGTCAAGTTACCTTGGGAAACAGATTTTGCAAAATGCATATTCGGTGATGAGTTGCCAAATGCGTCATTGGCATTTCCAATTGACTGGAGTGCTCAGAAATCGATTGATGAGATCCAGACGCCTGAGGCTAGTGCAATCGGTAACCCTCAGACGCTCGACTGGGCTGTCGGCCGTTGTGTGAAGAACATGTCTGACAGGTCATACATCGAACAGAAAGAGATTGCAACTCTTAGAGCAATTAATAAGATCTTAGTACTCGTTCGTCTTGCCCCCAATGGCAGCCAGCTAGGAACTCAACTTGAGAGCGGACTTGATGACCCTGAAGAGACAGTTCGAGCCGTGATCGGAGTTAAATCACCGCACACGGTGTTGAAGAGAGTGAATAGTTTGCTAAGCTTTTATCGTTGGTGTGCAGCTTCGTGCAATGAACCTTGTTTTCCAATAAAGGAACGCATGGTGTGGCAGTTCTTGCAATTCCTCAAGGCTTCCGGTGCAGCCCCAACACGGGCGCAATCGTTCGTGCAGGCACTTAGATTCGCATACTTTACTTTTGGGTTGCATGGTAGCTTAGATGCCGTACAGAGCCGCCGAATTACGGGCAGCGCTGAGCTGCAATGGGCACTAAAACGACCAACCATACAGGCAAGGCCTCTTAGTGTATGCGAGGTCAAAAAGCTGCATGACATTGCAGCAGATCCCATGCGCGCCGTTGTCGACCGGGTGATGGCTTCTAACCTTTTGTTGATGCTGTATGGACGCTGCAGGAACAGTGATACCGCTATGGTGCACGAGGTGCTCCATGATCACTCTGCAGAGAACGGCTTTTTGGAGATCACAACGAGGTATCACAAGGGTTCCAAGTCAGCCCAAAAGAAAGCGACCTTGCTCCCAATTCTGATGGACACCAAAGGTGTCGTTGAAGGCGGCTGGGTTGAGATGTGGGTGAAGAACCGGAAAGAAGCTGGGCTACCGGTAGCAGGTTTGATTGATGGTGCACTGCTACCGGCCCCTGCGATGAAAGAGCAACTGCACTGGAACCAGAGACCTTTAACGTCAGGTGAGGTGACCAGCATTGTTCGTGCATTGTTGAGTTGCAGTGATGCGTTGTTGACATCACACTCACTAAAAGCAACGACTCTGTCATGGGCAGCCAAAGCAGGGGTCAGCCGTGAGCTTAGGAAGAACCTAGGCCGTCACTCCTGCTCGGTGGAAGGGTCTGATGGTTTTTACAGCCGAGATTTGTGTGTAGAGCCAGTCCGTGCATTGTCCCGAGTCTTCGAAATGATTCGATCAGACAGCTTCCGGCCTGACGCTGAGAGGTCAAACTATTTTGTGGGCGGCAATACAAACTCTTTGAACCTGTTGCCTTCGACGCCGACTTTCCTCGGGATTCGCCAAGCCATGACGCCGGCCCCGGCTCAACCGTCTACTCCGACGCACACAGTTTGCCCCAAACTCAGCAATGACAAACCAGTCCAAGTGAAAGACGAGCGTGAACCAACAGATGGCATTGTTAAAACACAAGCTGTGGATTGCATTCTTGTTGAATCCAGTTCGTCAGAGGGCTCCAGCTCCGACTCGTGCAGTGACGAACAGTCAACAAGTGACGAGGATGAAGCTTTACTGACTAGAGGCCCAGAAGGTCACCGCGCAGGTGAAGCGTCGTCAGTGTCAAACGACGCTCAATGGCCAGTATTTGATGCATGGGTTCGTCACTTGAAAACGAAAGTCTGTCACCGCTTCGAATCCTTGAGTGAGCCAACGCCAGGAAACATCGCTGGCAAAGTGACGTGCTGTGGACGCAAAGTGGGTGACAGATTTGAGCCTTGCGAGCACCTCAGAGACTTCGATCGTAAGTGTAAACTTTGTTTGAAATCGTGCAAGTGAAGTTTTTCCTTTGTGTTCGCGCATTTCTCAAGCGGGCAATGGCCCGTAAGCACTGTGTGCATTGGCGTGAAAAACGAGACTGCGTTGAACTGGCCATGTTGGTCAAGGCATTGTGCCTACAAACGCCGCGTGTGCGGAATGAGTGATGTCACTCTTTTCTGTAGGTCAGGCCATGTGGCCTATAACAGCCATTGTGGTTGAATGGGAGTAATGTTTTTTTGTTTTTTTTTACGGGTGGACAACTGCTAAGTTGTGAGGCCACGATGACATGTAAGGCTCGGCTTTTGTTTTACGATCTGTGCAAACCGTCTGGCCATGTGGCTTCAGATGGCTACTGATGTTTGTGAGACATCCAGATTTTGCTCGATGAAGATGATTTGTGTGTGTGTTATTTTTTTTTGGGGGGTGGATCTGAGCTTTGTTCACAACTTTATGTTCACTTTCTTCGACACTCCTTTCCTCAGGTCGGTCAACTAAGGTGCTTATTATGTTTTGCAATCCTGAACGTGACATGTACTTTTTCATGATTCTTGCATCGCGCTGTCAGGCCTCGGTTCGTTGAGCCAGCCATGACGAGCGTGGTGGATTCAAATGCTCACTTTGAGCAGAGATGCAGAGACATGGGACTTGGGGACACGTCGATGAGGAATCTTGTAGCCAACTACAAAACGCTTGGTCAACTGGGTTTCGCGTGTGGACAGCCTGGAGTGCCGATCAATGAAGGCGAGTTCGCCACATTCGCGCAAGCGACGCTTGGAGCCCTAGCGTCCTTGAGCGACATATCGATCTTGAAGAGACTCCTGTTTGAGGCGCATACACTTTCTCTGGCGCAGCTGCGCGAAGCCGTTGACCAGGAAATTGCCCGCTGTTGAGCGTGAAGCCAAGCTTAGGAACCTTCGAGCTCGTTTGTCCGGTGTAGTCATAGAGAGACAGTTAGAGCCAAGCCACGACTTGCTTGACAACGTATCCCAACAGTGGGAGAGCAGGCAATTGAAATATCTATCCCCAGAGAAATGCTCCAGTCGGGAGTTTGAGATCACTATGTCAAAGAATGCAAAACAGGTCCAACTTGATAGCGACAAGTTGACGATTAAAGAATCCAAGACGATTCCGGACCAATTTGCAGGAACTGAGATGCTAGTGCACGAAGCACTTCGTCGAAGAGGCATAGCATACGCGTTCGCAGACGTGATCAGTTGGCAAGTTCACGAACGCTACTTGCAGGCGCTGTTCTCCCACCTCCGCAACGAACCGCCAGCAGGCTACGCAAAGCCGACTTTGCAGCAGATCCTCAAAGCCGACAGGCAGACCTTCATGAAGTTGATCCAGAACGACGTGCCCATTCGTCGCGACCCAAGCAACAACCTTGCCCTGGACACCGAGCTCATGAACATGTTCGCGTCGTACGAAGTCGGTTTCCATCTGTTGCCATTGCCAAAAGCGCCGCAGACGATTGGAGGTGGGAAGGGCGACAAAAGTTGGTGGGCCACCAGGTCCCATTCAGACGCGCGAGATCAGCCGTACAAAGGGAAAGGCAAACACAAGGGTAAAGGAAAGAGCAAAGATCGCCCAAACATTATGCCAAAGGAGTTGCAGCATAAGGACAATGTGTCGGTGGACCTTCACAATCGCCGATTGTGCTTCAACTACAACATGGGTAAATGCACAGCCGCGCCCGATGGAGGCCAGTGTGATCGCGGACATCACTGTTGTATGCGCAAGGGATGTCATGCCCCGCATCCTGTGACTGAGCATGGCAAACATGAGCAGAAAGAGTGACTAGGATCACGAATAGCCGAATTAGTGCAAGCAGGTGCTGACCTTTCGGAATGCTTCGTTGTTGAAATCTTCGCAGGAACTGCTCGAGTGACTTGCTGTTTAAAACAGTTAGGACTCAACAGTGCCTTTGGAGTGGACAAGCTTAGACATAAGAATGCTTCAGCCCCAATCTCAATGTGCGACCTTAGTACCCCTAAAGGGGAGAACCTTCTTTGGTCTTGGCTGCGCAACAAGCGCATTGTAGGCATTTTTCTGGCGCCTCCATGTGGAACCGCATCACGCGCCAGAGAGATTCCACTGAAACGTAAACGAATGACCACGCCCGGTCCAAAGCCACTTCGCAGTGACGACCACCCAAACGGGTTACCTGGACTTGGTTGGGTTGATAAACTCAAGGTTTCACTTGCAAACAAATTGTATCACCTCACTGCCAAGATAGTCAACTGGTGCACCGATCATGACATCATCGTATGTGTTGAGAACCCACAGCATTCGTTGTTCTGGTCGACGACCTTTTGGCAAGCCGTGTCGCATTTGCTGGAGTACACGATTTTGCATTCATGTATGTTTGGGGGAGCCCGCCAGAAGAAAACAATGTTGGCGCACAATGCCGCCGAATTCCGAAGCCTCGCTGTGACGTGCTCCGGTCAATCGGCGTCTCACCGACACTTACCGTGGGGAGTTCGCGAGCACAACTTTGCAACCGCAGAGGAAACGGCATATCCAATGCCACTTGCCAGGGCAATTGCCAATTGCTTCGTTCTTTCCTTTTGTAATAAAGGTATTAGACATTCCCCCATCACATTACATGATGTCCAACCAATTTCGCTCGATGCTCTCAAGGCCATGCGCGCGCAGACTGGTCAGCAGCCTAGAGCCTCTAAATTGCCACCCATAGTCCCTACTTTTGCGCGCAAACTTCACATCAGCGGTCAGCCCTCGGAGCTTCCCAGCTTCCTGTTGCACCAAGCGCTGCCTCAGCCGCTCACCGTCCGTGCCCCCGCACACACGGTGGTTTTGCCCAAGGGCGCACGCCTTTGTGCAATCCAGCCGACATCCGTGTTCAAAGGGGGTAAGTTTCTAGCGGATTGCCGTCTTGAGGCACCAGGGGTGGTTCATGACATCGACCCAACTGATGAGCCCATCGTGCAATCGTGGGGCGTCCCGCGGACAGAAGAGGAGTTCGTGCAGCAAGCAGCCAAACATGGTCATCCCAGCAAAATCGAATCCTTGTTGCCTGATGTGCTCAGCAAGGCGGTTGATCGTTTTGCCAATTCGACGTCGTCCGAAAGATGTGCAGCAAGAGTAAGGAACCTGAAGTTCTGGAGCCAAAGGGCAAGAGATCTGATCCAAAAGGAGAGTGACTTGAAGCAGACCATGCCGCCGTCTGTTCGTGACGTTCTTGCTAGCAAACGCATTCTGCTTTGGAAGGAAATGCTGGAGAGTGTAGGATATCCTGACATGTCTGTGGTGGATGAGTTCAGCTCTGGAAGCACTTTGACGGGTGAGGTACCAGCCACTGGCTTGTGGCCCCTAAAGTTCGCCCCTGCACAGATGACAGAGGCTGATCTTTTTGAGGTCAGCGCCAGAGACCGTGCAGCCTTTCGTAATGGGCCCTTCCTCAAAGCTGACGCCGAGATGGCGCAGACCGTTTGGGAACAGACCTTGCAGGAGGTTAGAGATGGTGCATTGGAAGGCCCCATTGACTTGAACTTGATCCCTGAGCACTATCCTCTCAGTCGTCGCTTTGGCGTAAAGCAAGGCTCGAAGGTCAGGAATGTTGATGACTTCAGCATGTCCGGAGTGAACGCGTGCGTGCAGGCTAATGAGAGCCCAAAGCCGCACACTCTAGACGTAATTGCAAGTCTGTGTGCCAGCCTGATGCAATCAGGGCAGAATGCCAGAAGCACTGCTTGGAAAGCCAGATCGTTTGACCTTAAAGGCGCGTATAGACAGTGCGCCGTGAACCCCGTGTCTGAACCGTTCTCATACATAGTTGTCTGCAACCCTAATAATGACACCCCTTATGCTTTTAAGATGAAGGCCCTGCCATTCGGGAGCGTCAAATCTGTGCATGCATTTTTGAGAGTTGCCCATAGCATTTGGTACCTGGGAGCCGCTCTTTTCGACATTTTGTGGTGTAACTATTTTGATGACTTTGTTACGTTCAGTCCAGATTCAGAGGCCAAGTCTGTGACTGACACAATACACATGTTATTCGATCTCACAGGATGGAAGTTTGCCAGGGAAGGCGACAAAGCCACCCCATTCGACTCAACCGTCAAGGCCTTGGGTGTCCTGATTGATGTCGCAAACATGGCCACTGGCTTGACTTTGTTCGACAACACACCAATGAGGAAGGCGGATTTGATCAGTTCTCTAGATAAGATCTTGGAACAAGGCCACCTCCCACGAGCTGAGGCCCTCAGACTCAGGGGTCGATTGCAATTTGCTTCGGGGCAGCTTTTTGGGAGGACTTCGAAAGCGTGCCTGGCCGTACTGACGGCCCATGCCTATTCCCAGACCACAGGAAAGCTGTCAGCAGCTGCCATCTCTGCACTCAGACTTCACCGGGATATGTTAGGTGGCAGCATTCCTAGGAAGATTTCAGCTCGTGCGTCGCAAACCTGGATCTTGTTCACAGACGCTAGCTTCGAGGGTTCTAATGATAATCCATATGCAGGGTTAGGAGCCGTCCTGTGTGATGGGTCAGGTGTAGTTAGGCGGTTCATTTCTCATGAAATCGAGTCTGAAGTGTTGACTTTTTTGAATCCTTCAAAGAAGAAGACCATCATCTATGAATGTGAGTACCTAGCTGTGTGGTGTGCCTTGAATAGATGGAAGCAATTCATAGCCGGCCAACACATTCTGATCTTCATCGACAACAATGCTGTTAGGGATTCCCTGATCTCTTGTCAGACCTCAAGTCCGGTCGCGCGCGCGATCATGTCCCAGATACTTGATCTAGAGTGCAAGGCAGGGCTCTTTGCATGGTGTGCCAGAGTACCAACTGACTCGAATATCTCGGATGGCCCCTCGCGTCAGATTTGTTCTGTGGTGTTGAAGCTCAAGGCCGAACGTGACTCCGCAGAGCTCAACGCGGCGATCAAGTGTCTGGTCATTCCAAGAGGGGGTGAGTGAAAGACCTGGCACTTGATTCACCCGCGTCCAAAAAGGAGCGTCTCTGCGGTGATGTCTTGTGCACTTGTGTCCAACGCGTTTTGCAGTAGAACTTAAGATCACGGTCCGAAGGTAAGTGGTTTAAGAGCTACAGGAAATTGTGAGGGAACGA